CTCGTACGCTTGCGAGATTTTCGCCAACAGTTGACGATCAATTTTTCTGATACGTGTTTTCTTTGTGAAAAATGAACTTTCTTCTAGTTCCGATTCGTTGATATATTGATTCTTTTACTGAGTTCTTGGTGTTTCTTTGCTGTAACTTTCTACTGAGTCGATGTTCTTTTTGAACTCGTACTGAGTGACGATGAGTTGAGTTAACACACTCTGATTCTTGCTGGTTATACCGACTCACTCTTGGTCATACTATGTTGCTGTAACTCGTTGGTTCTTGGCACTCCATTCTGGAAAACTGATCTGTTTCTGGTATCCTCATACACTCCTTCTCCACTGAAACATTGAGGTTTCAGCTCTGATATAATTCTCTGAACTTTTCTGATTTTTTAGTACAATTGTTAAACTGCTTTGTCTGTTTTGATTTGGTTATTAAGGTAATTAATCCTCCTCTACTTTCCTTTGTTTAAGATCTCATTGAGGATCTGGGAATCTGAGGGAGTAGGGGATTACAGGGTTATCACCACTTAAACATGTCAAACTGGCAATCCTGCTTAATATATCTATACTTGGTGATCATATACTGTTTTTACTATTATTCTTTATTTTACTATCTATACTTGTTGCATTCTGTGTTAAAGATAAACTTGAATCTGTTGTGAGTCTACTGGTGATCATGTCTACCTCACATAAATTTGAAGTAGAGATTTGGAAAGGGACTGGGAATTTTAGTTTGTGGAGTCAGAAAATTAGGGCTTTGTTGTTACAGCATATATGTGTTGTCGCAATTGATGGTACTAGGCCTCCTGAATTTAGTGTTTATAGGAGACAAGAGTTAGATAAGATAGCCTAGATTTCTGTATTTCTTCACTTGTCTGACGCTGTAATCAAAAAGGTTAGAGAAACCACTAATACTCAGGGTCTTTGGGCTAAACTTGAATCTCTTTATCTAACTAAGATCATGCCCAACAAATGCTACCTCCTAAGACAATTCTACAATTTCAGATTTAATCCCTCCTCTATTATGGAAGAAAACATTGACAAATTCACAAAATTGGTTCAAGAAATAACAGACTGTGATGAAGAACTGTCTGAGGATCAACAAGTTGTTGCTCTGTTAAATGGTTTGGGTGATAGATATAGAGATCTAAGAAATGCCTTAGAGTATTGGAGAACTGAACTTACTGTTGATTTTGTGATATCATCTCTAAAAAACAGAGAACTGGAATTGAAAACTGAAGTTAAAGATTCTAAGTTTGGAGAAGGATTGAATGTAACAAAAAGAGCAATAAAGGAAAACAATGCAATTACAACTCTCTTAAGAAAGGAAAATCACAGTTTCCTAAGTTTAGAAATCAAAACAAGAACCAGTCCAAACCAAAGATGCAAGACGAAAAATGTCATTACTGTGGCAAGACTGGACATCTTATAAAAGATTGCTTTAAGATGATATCTGATATGAAAGCTAAATTCAATACAGATAAGTCTGCAGACATTGTTTGCAATGATGAATATGAAATACAAGGAGTTGTTCTTGTTGCATCAACTAAAATAAATCTGAATGAATGGGTTCTTGACTCTGGATGTTCTTTCCGTATGCGTATTGTTAAAGAGTGGTTTACTGACTTTAATGGTTTTAATGGTGGTCAAGTTCAAATGGGAAACAATATGACCTGTCAAATTAAAGGAATTAGTGACCTTAAGCTCTTACTGGATAATAATCAAATCCTTGAACTGTCTCGGACAATTTATGTTCCTAATCTTCAAAGAAACTTGATCTCTTTGGGACAACTGGATGATGAATATGAGTTAAAAATTCATAAAGGTCTTACTAAAATAAGTCTTAACTTAAAAGAGATTATTTCTTCTCCTAGATCCAATGGGATCTTCATACTGCAAGCTGAACCTCTAGTTGGTAACAGCTCTACATTTGTGAATACTCATTTTAATGAAACTTTGATTTGGCATAGGAGACTAGACCATATTAGTGAAAATGGATTAATGATTTTGAATAAACTAAAATGCTTCAGAAAGGATAACATTGAAAGCCTTAAATTTCGTGAAAATTGTATTGTTGGAAAACAAAATAAACTATCTTTCAAAAATGGAATTCATAAATCCACTTCTATTCTTGAGTATTTGCATACAAACCTATGGGGGCCTGCTTCTGTAGATACCTTAAGTGGCTTCAGATTTTACTTATTGATTGTGGATTGATTTTTCAAGAAAAATTTGGACTTTTCTTTCGAAAAACAAATCTGATACTTTTCTAAACTTCAGGCAATGGAAACTCATGATTGAAAATCAGAGTAATAAGAAGATAAAGGCACTTAGAACCGATAATTGTTTGGAATTTTGTAATCATGAATTTGATTCTCTTTGTAAAATATGCGAGATTTTAAGACATAGAACAGTAATATAGACTCCTATACAAAATGGTATTGCTGAGAGAATGAGTAGAACCTTATTGGAAAAGGTGAGATGTATGTTACTTAGTTCTAATCTTCCAAAAATTTTCTGGGGTGAAGCCCCAAAAACTGCTACCTATCTGATAAATAGAATTCCTTCAAGTGNTTTTTTTGGCTGAAGCCTTAAAAATTGCCACCTATGTGATAAATAGAATTCCTTCAAGTGCTATTGACTTTCAAATCCCTGAACACTTATGGTCTGGAGAGTCTCCAAACTATTTCAAACATAGGGTTTTTTGTTGCGCTACCTATGCACGTCAAGATGTAGGCAAGCTAGAACCCAGGTCTCAAAAATGTGTTTTTCTGGGTTATGGAGAAGAAACTAAGGGTTATAGACTTTGGGTAAGAGAGAAAATGGTTATAGTCATCATTAGTAGAAATGTTGTTTTTTATGAGAGTTTGTTTCCCTGTAAATCATCTTCAAGTCAAACACTAATCATTCTACTTGTGTTAAAGAAACAGTGCTGGAAAATCAAGAAGAATGTCAAACTAATCCTCAAAATTTGATTGAGGTGGAGTCTATTCAATCTGATCAGTCTCAAAATGAATCTAAAACTGAAGGAATTTTCAAGATACTTCTTTGGAAAATTATCAATTGGTCAGGGATAGGGATAGAAGGAATAGGATACCTTCTACCAGAATTAACAATGATGAATCTGTTACTTTCTATTCTGAATTAGAATTTATTAATTCTGAACCTGTAACATTTGAAGAAGCTATTAACAGCAAAGATTCTAAGCTTTGGCTAGAAACTATGCAAGAAGAAATGGATTCTTTACTAACAAGACATGGGTCCTTGTTGATAAACCTAAATATCAAAAGATTGTTGACTGTAAATGGGCTTATAAGATTAAAGAAGATGAAGCCAATACCTTGGGAAAAAGATATAAACCCAAACTTGTAACCAAAGGTTTTACACAAAAAGGGGGTATTGACTACAATGAAATCTTATCACCTGTTGCAAAGTATACATCTATCAGAATCTTACTTGCCTTAACAGCTCACTTTAATTTGGAATTAGACTAACTTGATGTTTGAGACTGCTTTCTTAAATGGTAATCTTGAAGAAACTATTTATATGCATCAACCAAAAGGTTTTGAATTGAAATCAAAATTTGAGCAGGTTTGTTTTTAAAGAAATCTCTTTATGGCCTAAAACAGGTCCCAAGGCAATGGTATAAAAGATTCTTCTCTTATGTTCAGAACTTAGGATTCTCTAAAAGTAATTTTGATTTCTGTTTTTCCTTCAAAGGGTCAGGAAGACCTGAATCTGTTTATCTTGTTTTATATGTTGATGATATGCTTCTTGCCTGTCAAAATAGATCTGAAATTGATTTTGTTAAAGATAAACTTAAAACTGAATTTGAAATGAAATATCTAGGGCAAGCTAAGAAAATTTTAGGAATGGAAATCAAAAGAGATAGAAAAAACAGTGTTTTGTATGTGAATCAAAATTCTTATGTGAAGAAAGTACTTGACAAGTTTGCTATAACTGAATGCAAATCTGTAACTCAGCCTATTGCAAACCATTTTAAACTTTCTAGTGAGCAATCTCCTAAAACCGTTGAAGAACATGATAGAATGTGTAAAACACCTTATGCTAATGTTGTTGGCTCTATTATGTACCTTATGATATACACTAGACCTGACCTATCTCATGGAATAAGTATTCTTAGTAAATTTATGGCTAATCCTGGTAAAACACATTGGTTGGCTATTAAGTGGATGATAAGGTATTTAAAGGGTTCAACTGATTTGGGCTTAAAATTTCTGTAATGAAGGTGTTACTTTAAAAGGAAACACCGATTCTGACTTTGCAGGTGATCTAGATAGAAGAAGATCTACATCTTCTTATGTTTTTACTCTTTATGATGGTTGTGTTAGTTGGAAATCACAATTACAAAAGATTGTTGCACTCTCTCCCACAGAAGCTGAATATATTGCAGCTTGTAATGCTATTAAAGAAGGACTGTGGTTGAGAGGTATTTAAAATGAATTTGGTTTTGTAAATGAAGTGGTT